AACTTGATTTATTAATTTTTATTTATTTTAATTTGACTAGAGAGGACAGAGAGAGAGAAAGGCAGAAAGCAGGCCACCAGGTCCAGAACCTGAACTGTGGTCAGCCATGTGGGAGTCTGGCACCCTTAATGACCATGCCACCTGCCAGCCCCGCACAAAAGTTTCTAAATTTAATGAAGTCTAATTTCTCTGTTTTGTCTCTTCTTGCTTATTTTTGGTGGCTTATCTAAGAAGCTATTGCTTAACTAAAAGACACAAAGTTTGCTATTTTTCTTCTAAGACTTTTATAGTTTTTTTAAAGAATTCTTTTTATTTAACATAATTTATTTATTTATTTTATTTATTTTAACTTGACCAGAGAGGGACAGAGTGAGAGAGAGAGAGGGAAAGTGAGAAAGCAAGCCACCCAATCTGGGACTCGAACCATGGTTGGCCATGTGGGAGTGTCTAGCACCTTAACCACCATGCCACCTGCTGGTCCCCCAGACTTTTATAGTTTTCTTTTTTTTTAAAGAATTCTTTTTATTTAACATAATTTATTTATTTATTTTATTTATTTTAACTTGACCAGAGAGGGACAGAGTGAGAGAGAGAGAGGGAAAGTGAGAAAGCAAGTCACCAGATCCAGGACTTGAACTGCTGTTGGTTATGTGGGAGTCCAGCCCTTAACCATCATGCCACCTGGGGCTCCAAAAATTTTATAGTTTTATCTCTTACATTTAGGCCTATGATCCATTGTGAGTTGATTTGTTTATGTGGTGTGAGGAAAGGGTTCAACTTCTTGGCATGGGGATAACCACTTAGTTGTCCCAACACTATTGCTAAAATGACTATTCTTTCCGCATTGAATTGTCTAGGTACTCTTGTCAAAAGTCAGTTGACTGGGGCCAGTGTGTGGCATGGTGGTTGAGGCACTGGACTCTCACATGGCCAATCACAGTTTGAATCCCAGACCCGACAGCTTCCTTTCTCACTTTCTCTTTCTCTTGGTGAATGCATGTGCCCTATAGCACATTTTTAAAAAAAGAAATCAAATGAATATTGTATTAGTTTCCTGTGGCTCCCATAACAAATGGCTTCATACTTGGTGGCTTAAAACAACACAGATATGTTATTTTATAGGTTTTTAGATTAGAAATCCAAAATGAATCTCACAGATCTAACATCAAGGTGTTGGCAGGGCTGTGTTCCTTTCTGGAGGCTTCTAAGGGAAAATCTAATTCTTTGCCTCTGCCAGCTTGTGGGGTGGTTTCTGAGTGGTGGGGCTCTTCGGCCTCATTAGCACTGTTGGATGTGCAGACCCCCAGCCACTCTGACATACTTGGTCAATTAGCCTAGCATCGTGCTCCTGGGTTCATTATTTATATACGTATTTATTTAAGTATAATTAAAGTACAAGGTACCTGTACTTGCTGGAGACGACAGGGAAAGGGGGAGAGAAAGTACCCCTCATGGGGGATGGTCACACCACAATCCCCTCTCTTCCATTCTCCTTTTGGGATTTTGGGAACTCATGCACATATATCTCATGTGTTTTTCAAGCCTCTGGGTCCGAGATTTGAATTCTAAGGATGAAATCAGTGTAGCTGGGTAATCCTGGCTAGGGTCTCCTGTCAAAGGATTGGTGTACCTGTTTAAAATGCCCCACACATACCAATATAAGCACACGAGCATTTGGGGGTGACGCAACAGTAAAACATGATTCTATGAGGCCAGCCCATGTGGTTTCCAGGCCCCCATGTGGAGACCTCCTCTGAGGATGCCAAACACGCGTGTGCCCACGATCCCGGGCTGGCTGAGGCTGGGGGCAGGGGTGGAGCACGGCAGCCAAGCTCTGTCTCTAAGCACACATACCAATATAAGCACACGAGCATTTGGGGGTGACGCAACAGTAAAACATGATTCTATGAGGCCAGCCCATGTGGTTTCCAGGCCCCCATGTGGAGACCTCCTCTGAGGATGCCAAACACGCGTGTGCCCACGATCCCGGGCTGGCTGAGGCTGGGGGCAGGGGTGGAGCACGGCAGCCAAGCTCTGTCTCTAAGTCTCTGCCTTTCTCTCTCTCTCTTCCTCTCTCTCTCTTTCTCCATGGAAGAAATAGAATGAAAACAAAACCCTTTTGGCACGG